TACTTGCATCTATTTGAAAGAGTGAGTGTAAACACAAAATAAATCTTATTTTATGTGCAGGAATGTGCAGAAAATAGGTTTAAATGTTAAACAAATTTCTTCCAGTCAGAGAATGTTGCATATAATTTATTTTTTGCTTGATGCATAAAGTTAAAAGGTTAAAACTAATAAAACAAGTTTTAAAAAGAGGTTTTTCATTTGAATACATTTTATATGATGCATTATGCAGAAAAGTAGAATTGGGCTGAAAGATCTATCGCTACCTACTCAGGGTATAAATCATGTTATAATAAGTAACTAAGTAACTAATTACTTTTGAAAATAAGTAATCAATAAAGTAATGGGATTACTTTTGGGGGGAAGTAATCATTAATTAGTTACTGATTACTTTTTTCAAGTAACTTGACCAACACTGTTCACCACATTGCATGTAAAGTTCTTTCATCTTTTCACTCTTTTCCTTTTTTATCACTTACCTTGTGCCTTTTTCCATATCTACATTCATCTGTTTGTTACCTACTTGTTCAGCTGTCTCTACTTGGGATGCTCCCCCATCCCGCATCTGAAGCATTTCATATTTTCAGATACTATATGAAGAACAAAGTAAAAGTTATCGATTCAACCTTGAAAAGCAATGCTCAATTCTTTATCCCCCGTGAGAGTCATTAAAACCTGTATTTTAAAGGAGAAAACAATGTTTTAAGCAAGGAGATTTGCAGCCAAGAAGCACGATTTTAATAGCAGAGAGGAGCTGTGCATGCTTAGACAACTCCTGCTTCGTTTCTGATGAATGATGGAACACTGGTGATTGTAAATGGACTAGTTTTTATATAGCACTTTTTTTATTGTACTTGAGCACTTGAAGCACTTTACACAACATGCCTCATTCATCCATTAATGCAAGGAACTTTTGTCTATGCTTTCTGCCTCTTTTTCCTTTTTTTTGTGTTTTCTACTTAGCATTCACCACCAATCTTAACATGCTTTATCCAAAGCACACTCTCTGCTAAATCACCCATAATTATATTCAGAATGTTCATTTACTTTGTTTTTAGGGCTTCTTTATCTTATCTTTTCTTTATCTTTCCATTCTGGACTTTCTCAGCGTGTGGGTTTAGCTACTCAGTATCTTGCCGGAGCCTCATTTTGCAATGCCACACCCGATCAACTATCCAACAGCCAAACTAAACTCCTTCACTGAGGAGTGGTGAGTCAGGTGCTCCTGACCCGAGCTGGTAGCAGTTCCTCAGAAAAACCTCAGACAACCTAATGAGCAGCACGATGGAGTCATTCTGCATCCCCAGACCCACCCGTATACCTCATCCACTCAGAGAATGAGATCAGGTATTCCCTAAAGCAGTTATTTAAACAAAATACAACAAAACATTTCTATAAATCAAGAAACAATTAAAAAATGTCTTCATGTGAGTACTAACTTAAAGATAAGTTTCCTTTTTTTTTTTCTACTGCATCTGAAACCAATAATAAAAGTCTGTAGAAAAAAATAATGTGGAAGTGGCCATAGTCCTGGAAAGGAAACAATGGAATTGAGTTTGGAGCACACACATTTATAAAAACATCTTTTTTTTATTTTATGTAGTGTGACCTGCAATTACTTTATTAATGGCAATCAAAAGAGGAGTAAATTCATTGGAAAATAAAATACAGGTTCCACCAGGGATTCTGCTTTTATGACTAAGGAAAGTTTCATCACACCAGTCGGAAATTCTGATCAGAAGCATTATCCTCAGTACTTTGTGTTTCCCGGACAAAATGTAGTTTATTCAGAACCACCAGGCTAAAAATAGAGGCTGGGTTTGAAACAGCAGTTACTCAAAAAAAAAAAAAAAAACAACCACAGGACTGCTGCTCAGGGTCCAGAGTCTTCCTCAGTACCTTCATGCTGAAAAGTACACTATACCAATTTGGTGTCAGGTAGCAAATGGATTTGATTGCTACTGGGTAATTGACTTTACATTATTTGAAAAAAAATAATTACAAAGAATCACATTCTGATTTTATGCATATTACATGTTCAGATACTAGAAACTGGTGGAAAATTGAAATGTATTAATGGACCAATTCCTATGCTATTTTCCAGGTTTTTGTAGACCTTTTTCACGCAATGAACATTTACCAGAGGTTTGGTGCATACCGTTTCTGTATTTGTTGTGTTGGACTGCAGAAGAACAGGCTTTTTTCCTGGCTTTGTCTTCAAACAATCTTAGTTCCTCCTGCCACAGATCCAAGCAGATGTGATGAACAGATGAGGAGAGAGAGGAGTTCAGTCAGCATCAAATAAGTGCTCTGACATCTTGATTTTAAAGTGATGTCAGTTAAAAGAGGTGGTGCACATACATTACTTTTTATTTGATTTTAACCATAATAATAGAGACAAACATTACTACATTAGCATGAGAAGTGCCAGTATTGACCTATGAAGCCTAGCATGAAGCTTATTTACATTTTGACATTGACATAATCATTGTTTTTGTCTTTTAAACAAAAAACTCATCCAATGTAAACTATATGTAGTGGGACCTTTTTTAAAAGCAGAATTTAATCCCATATAAGCAGTGCTATACAAAAGTGGCACTTTCTATTGTTGCCATGAGAACTAGCTCTGACCTCTGACCTCATTAACAACAATAAGAATCCCTGATGATAATTGTCTGTCTTTATCTGCTGTGACATTTGTGCTGAAAACATCAATATCTGTCTTCACTTAATGAACATCAACAAACAAACATGCCTGAGGTCATCTGATGAGCCACAACCAAGGATCTGTTTCACAAAGTGTAATAGACGGAGCTCGAGTTGTGACACAGAAACGGTTTTGTCATCATCTTTTCTATTTAGGAACAAATGTTACATGAAAAGTAAATAAAGAAAATTGACATTTCATGTAGTGGCACAAGATTGCTTCTAAAAACTGTGGAACAACTTTAGAATAGGTGCCAAGTGCTGTTACGTTAACTTTACCTTCCTTACTCTTTTGTCACGACCATGGTCCTTCCTCCTGCACATCTCCTGTGACTGAGAGGGCTTGTTACTAGCTGTGCTGGTACTACCCTTGATGGTGCACCAGTAGCCCTGACAGCTAAGATGTTGTTTATTTTACACATTTTTCTGCACGTATTGTGAGTTTATTTTTATTTTCCTCTCTTAGGGAAGTGCTCAGTATGGCAGATTACCAGTCCAGACCTGGCTCTCATCTGGCATTTCATTACAAACAGGCTGTCATGGAAATCAATGCATGGACTGAGGAACAGAAATCACTGAGTGCAAAGACAGTGCACAGTGTTTTGACAAGTGTAGGATAAAGCTCTAACATACAAAGAAGAAGCCATGATGCAAACACGATCCAGAAACATCTTCTCTGTGCTAAAGTTTATTTAAAATGGACTCAGGTAAATCAGGAAACTACTCCCTGGTTGGATGAATCAAATTGGAAATTATTTAAGGAAAACATGGAACCTTTGACCTCTGAAGAGAAGCAGGGTGTGAATTTGTGCCCTATGGGACTGACAGTTTGCACATCTGAAGAGGCACGATCAATGCTGGAAGATATCTACATGTCTTACCACACCACAACTTATTTGCCTTTGTCAAATCAAAGGCAAACCGGGAGTTAGGGAGTATTGTTGTGTAGGTGGGTGAAAAAGCTTAAAGGTTAATCTGACTCTATGGTTCAAATGTCTGACTGAACTATATGCTGCTGTGGTGCATTATGGGTTACGTAGGCACCAAAACTGAAACAGGATGATGACTGTTCTGATTTTGTTTTTACTCCTAGACTACCAGATAACTGTTCCTAAAAGCCATCAGATGGTGCAGGAAAATCCATTTAATGTTGATGGTGTTGCTGCACTCCCTGCTGTCAGACTCACACCAGTACACTCCACTGTCTGATGGGTAGACACCTTTGATGGTGCAGGATGATCCATTTAATTGGCCCCAGGTCTCACATGAAACAGAAGACCTTGTGGAGGTGTTTCTCTTCACTGTCCAGCTGCTGAAGCTGCTTGGCACTGCACAGCTCAGAGTCACGGTTTCATAATAAAAGAAGACTGACCTGCCTGGATGGATGCTCAGAGTAGCAGCTGCAGGTTCAAAAACATCAGGTCGAGACACATCAGTTAACATGCAGTAGACTACATGCAGTGTGTGGAGATCAATGACACGAACATCAGAGAAGTAACCTGTACTGATCATAAGTGCTTTTGGGAGACTCACAAAAGATTAACATGAGTGTCAGAATAAATATTCCGTTAGACCAGCAAATATGAAGAGACGAGCTACAACAACCATTATAACTAAAATTGGATTAAGATGTATATTATTCTGCTGTACATGCTTATATATAACAGTCACGGTTTGATGAGCTGCATCCTTAAGGGCAAACAGGCGTCCACTGTTTAGCCAACAGTACCCTGAGCTACTAGGATAAAACCCACAGACCCATTTTATTCCCCTGATGTTCCACAGATCTGAACTCCAACTAAGAACTTCTGTGATTTCCAAAAAGTACCACAGAGTGTCAAAACACTCAGAAGCCTATGCAGTTACACAGTGAAGACAAATGATAAGAGGATTATTAATGTTCACGCTGCACTGAAAAAAGCTCATGACTCACAAACCATAAACTCGTGTAAAAATAACTAAAAGTAACATCTGTATAAGAAACATATTGATTTATCTTTAACGAAATCCAAGCAGTGGATGAGAGTCCACAGTGAGAAAGTGAGAAGAGACTCCATGGATTTCATATTATAGAAAAAAACAAGTCCACAGTGTGTGGGAGAATAAAACATTTTGCCTCTTTCTTCTTTAAATCAACATCCATGTTTCAGTTTTAATTCTTAAATTCAGGAAGTGTGCTCAGATGGCCAGTTTTGCTTTCTACGGTTTTAAAGGTTACTCAGTGAATGTCAGCCAAAATAAGAGCTGTCTGACTTAAACTGCTTCAGTGCTTGATTATTTAATTACTCACCAGAGGGGACGCTGGGTCATCTTTTATGAAAGGAACTTTCTAAACCAACATTATAAGTATTTTAATTACTTTATATAAAATGTTCAGATTGCATTAAAATAAGCAACAAGTGTAAAAATGCCCACAAGGTGGAGACAGACACAATGCTGATGAGGACATTTGTGAGACTATTTTTCAAATTTTTTGATGTCAAAGGCACATCTGCCTGGTTACTGGTTATTTCTTCATCCCACTTACCACAGCAGATAGTTAATGCCAGGTTACAGAGTAACACAAGAGTAATGTTTCTAAAAGTAAGAACATATATTTTTTGATGTATTTAGAACAGCAGTAATACAGACAGACACTGATGCATAAAATGATACATTAAACCACAGGACAAATTATAAATTAAAGAAGTATTTGACAAATCTCTTACAACAGGTTTATAAAAGACAATATACTAGTTTGTATATACAATCCTATATAAAACAAATGCAGCCTGGAGCGTGAGCGGCACTGGTGAAGGTTTGCACTCTCAGAGTGCTTCTTCATAACATTGTGACACTCAATTTGTCCTTTAAAGATAAAACTCATCAAATGCGAAAATGAGACAGTTTTCTGTTCAGTTTATATAATTTTAGATTCATACAAAATCGAACATCATTGCTGCTGAGAGGTTATTAAGGTTGAAAGGATCAGTGTAAGACTATTGCTTTAATCCCAGTGATATGTTGATTGTTGATCATCTTCTTCCTGCACTCAAGTTAGAGATGATCAGGCCATTTCCTTTTAGCCTCAGCTCGAGCTGCAGGAAGAACAAAAACTATTTATAGTGTGACATTTTTCAAAGATGACATTTAGTCACATATAAGCTGCTTCATACAACAGCAACAACAACAACACCTATTGTTTCCAGAGAACCAGCTCTGTTTCCACCTCATTGACTGTAACAAGGATATCAGATAACTGTCTGTCAGCTGTTCTGCCACAGAAATGACTCAACAGCAGCTGGAAACTTTGCTGTGAAATGTGATGCAAACAAGTGAACATCCATCCTCGCTGCAGGAGCATGAACATACTCAGACACCACCAGGGGGCTGCATCACATGGTGTCATTTGACTTTGCACCACTGTGGAGGCCCCGCTCCCCTTAATGTGGTTAGACTGAACCAAAGATTATAATAACTGTTTCTACTCTATGGTTTCACTCAGTCAAACAGACGTTGCCTTCAGGTGACAGGTGACAGTTATCTATGTGTCAGGTCTGATATCATTAGCTTGTTCTGGCTCGAAATGCCCACCAAGCAGCAGCTTAAGAAGCAAAAGTAAAATGGTGAAATTCTGACAGTGACGATGTCCAGGCCTGCATGAAAAAGAGGACATTTTAGATTTAATGGAGGCAGAAGTAAGCAGTAACCTCTACTGTAGCCTTCTGACTGGTAAATAACCTGCTCTACCACCAATACATTCACACACACACATAAAAAAAAAATGACATTTTGGCTCACATAAACCCATAAATACTTGGTGCCAAGATGGGAAACACAACAATCAGCACTGAAATTCCATTACGATTACATAATTTCATATTTCAGACCTTAATGTTGGATTTTATCATTTTGCTCATTCTTTTCAAAGCTCTTGATTTTTTTTAAAAAAAGGTGAGGCCTATTCATTTCAAGCTGTAAGGTTGGGGAAACGTGCAGTCAGCTGAGACTGAAGAAGTCACTTGGATGAGTGACCAAATGTTTCTACCACTGAAAACATTACATCCAGATGAGCAGAATCAACTTTTTGGGTTCAAGCATCAGGTTGATGCCTGATGCTTCAGGTCTGCAACCTCATGCAGTCAGATTCCATCTTTAAAGCAACGTTTGTGCCTGATGACTAAAGTAATAAAATCCAGCCTGAACGTCATGGATCTAAAACTGAACTTCAGAAATGTATTTACAAATAGTGACAGAGTGAGGTAATGCTACTTTTCTTCAATGATCTCCCAAAGCATTGCAAGATACAGAGACAAATACCAAAACAACTCTGGAGGTTTAAGAGTTATTATACTCTCAATAAGAACGCACATTTACAGCAGTGGTTTAGCTCACTGGGTTCAGCAGGTGATGCATATGTCATAAAGCTAATACAGAAACCTGAGCTTTTACTCTGAGTTCTGCTCCCAGCTTTCATGTCTTCTCTCCACTGTCTTATTGCAGTAAAGGCCTTCCAAAAAAGTGCATGTTAAAGATCACTAAGAGAGGCGCAGCATCTGCAAGTAAGCCTGCAACTAAGGTGGCACCATGTGCACGGGCTAATGGGTTAAAAGTCTGACATTGTGAACTTAATGTCCAGAGTGAAATTTTAGTTTTTGTAAAGTTTACTCATTATATATGATAATAAATCAGCACCTATGTCCTCTGACCCCTTTACGAAAATTGACATAAACCAACATAATCAGGATTTTTTGAAGTTTTCTTACCTTGAGCCCACTTCCTGTAGGTGTACACAGCCAGTATGAGTATACAGGTGTAGAGGATGAACAGCAGGATGGTGCTCAAAAGTTTGGGCAGAGCGATCGGAGGAGTAGGATCAGGATCAGGATCAGGGGTGGTCATGGGAATATTATTCTCTGTTAGGAGATAAAGTTTTATCATCAGTTCTTCTGTTTAGAGCGCGCATTAAAAAATGTTAATTTTAAATCAATATTTCGTGTTGATACATATGCAGAGATTACTGTGCATTTCACAAAAACATTTCAAGGAACCACATCAGGACATGAAAAACAGAGCTTCTGTGAAATGAGTCAAAGTTTTCAGCATAAGGATATGAGATGTATGACAAACCTTATACCTGGCCTACAGTACCACTTCCTGTGGTAGAACCGCTGCATATCCAGGAAGCAGCTCATATATATGAAAAAACCTGACACGCTTCATGTTGGTGACACGCTTCCAGTGACATTTCATTTGCTACAGTAGTTAGATTTTTCAGATTGGTTTTATAACGAAACACACAGTCATTTCATTTCTGGATAAGAAAGCAAATTACTCCATAAATATTTTAAACCAAATCTAAAATTCTAGCACATTTCTCTTTTGACCTTTTTATTTATTTTCTTTTTAGTAGGGATGTCGGCCGGCAGTGTGTTCTCATTCTGGGACATCGATTAAAGCATTTATTTGCCACATATCAGCTTCATTTACATCATAGTTGTGTGTTTAAGAAAAGAACTGGTTATGTCTCTAGTGTCTTCTCTAGACCCTAGGACTCTAAGACACCAGAAAAAGCATGTGATAGAGTGCAACATAGTGACTTTGTACTGTGTACTGTGTGCAGAAGTCAGGACGTCAGTGTCAGAGAAGTACACGAGAAGGGTGTTGCAGGACATGTAACAGGATGAGACAGTCATGAGGGGGATTAACAGATGGGTTTATGATGGGGTTGGGATGACATCAGAGATCAGCTCTGAGCTCCTTCTTATTTGAGATGGTGATGGACAAGCTGACAGATGAGGAGTTTCTGTGGACTATGATGTTTGCAGATGACACTGAAATTTGTATTAAGAGAGTGGGGAACAGGTGGAAGAGAGCCTGGGGAGGTGGAGGTAAGTTCTGGAGATAAGATGAATGAAAGTCCCTAGAAGTAAGTTAAAATACATGTTTGTGAATGTGGGAGACAGTGCACAAGAGAGGCAAAGAAGAGAGTACAGGCAAGGTGCTGTGGGCAGAGATGAGTGTCATGAGTGTGAGTTATGGCAAAAGGATAACAGGAAGAATGAAAGGGGGAATTACAAAATGATAGTTACAGCTGCTGTGATATATAGTTTGGACAAGATAACACATCACTTCTCCCACCTCACAGCTGGAGGTGGGAGACAGTGGCAGAGAAAAGGACACTAAAGAAACTGCTGGACATTATGAACAATGCTGGGCATCCTCTGCACACGGCCATTAACAACCAGAAGAGTCTGTTCAGTGACAGGTTGCTTCTCCCCAAGACAAGAACTAACAGACTTAAAAACTCCTTTGTCCCACACGCCATCAGACTGTTTAACTCCTCTCTGGAGGGGAGAGGGAGGGGAAACGGGAGGACAAAGGAGGGGGGGACAACTAAGTGGCAGTGCCTCTGCACCTCACTGTGCAATACCTTTGTGCAATACTTTTGTTAATAGTCAATGGTGCAATAGACCTCAATACTTGAAATGTGCAATTCACTTGTATTTTTTATTTTTATTCCTATTTATTCTATTTATCCCCTTTGTATATTTTATTTATATTTGTCTCTGTATTTATATATGTCTCTGTATTTATATATATGTGTGTGTGTGTGTGTGTGTGTGTGTGTGTGTGTGTATATATATATACATATAATATTCTGTAACTGTAACTTCTGTCGGTGCTGTGCTTTTGGAAACAGAATTTCCCAGAGGAACCCACCCGAGGGATTAATAAAGTTTTATCTTATCTTATCTTATCTTAGAAGTGACAATAAACAGCGAGGATAAAACTGAAAACTACTTGGTTAACTTTTGATTTAGGAATATAAAACTTTAGGTTAATCAATGTCCCAGAAATGTTAAGATTTAGTTTACTCTTTAAAACTTACAGCTTTAAACCTGGCTTTCACCAGGCAGCATAGAGGGGTAGACATACTGGTGCATTATGGTGATACAAGTTTTGCTAATAAGTTGTGGTCAGGTTTATACAAAAAACATCCCATTTAATCACCAAGTTATAACTGAAACTGCTTTATGTATGTAAAAGTATTTATAAGCTGTCAGACAAAAGCTTCATGAAATCTAACATCATCCTCACCTCTCACTTCCAGCCAAACCTCTGGTGACTGTCCTTTTGTGGGATGAACACACTTGTAGAAGGCTTCGTTCTCCTTGGACACATGGATAAGGCCCAACCTTCCTTCAGGCTTTTTTTCAAAAAAAGTACCATTTCTGTAGAAAGCAGTACTGAAATTGGACGTAGACTCCTTTGCATATTTTTCCTTATAGGAGCAGTTTAGTGTCACACTGTCTCCCTCAGTCAGAGGAACAGCAGGACCCTGCAGGATGACACCAGCTGAAATGCAGAGAGAGAAACTGTGGTCTCTGACTCTGGTTTTGTTCTTAGTTAAAAAAAAATTGCAAAATGTGTTAATTTTATTTTTACTTAAGATACAACATCAACAATCTGACATTACTTAGCAAGCTTACTTGTCACTGTGATGTTGATGGTGTTGCTGCACTCCCTGCTGTCAGACTCGCACCAGTACACTCCACTGTCTGATGGGTAGACACCTTTGATGGTGCAGGATGATCCATTTAATTGGCCCCAGGTTTCACATGAAACAGAAGACCTTGTGGAGGTGTTTCTCTTCACTGTCCAGCTGCTGAAGTTGCCTGGCACTGTACAGCTCAGAGTCACGGTTTCATAATAAAAGAAGACTGACCTGCCTGGATGGATGCTCAGAGTAGCAGCAGCTGCAGCTTCAAAAACATCAGGTTGAGACACATCAGTTGACATGCAGAACATGCAGTGTGAGAAGATCAATGACATAGATGCTGAAACCTTTTCTGCCACTGCACAGATTCAAACCAGCGACCGTTTTGGACAAAAGTTTCCACAAACTCAACATTGCCAAGAACGACATGGTAATGTTAGGCTTTTAAGCCCCACACCCCACTACCAGGGGTAAAAAGGAGGAGCTCACGTTTAATCAGTTATAACACGGTGTCAAAAATACAAGTCCGAACATGTGCGGTATCCACAAAAACCTCTGAATCTCAGTTAAAATCTCATATAAACCATTTCTACAAAAACTAAACAGAACGAAAACAAGTCATGATTAAACGAACAGTTACGTAAATGTCCGCTAAACAAACAAAACCAAACAATAAATTCTCCAGACTTTATGTAACCGGCTAAAGAAAGGTGAGTTATCTTCCAGAGATATCAATGATTCCAAACACCAAGTTTCACAACACTCTGACCAAAATTCACTGAATGAGCCGCAAAAGAAGACCACAAAAACACAGAAAATGGCTTACTGTTCAGATTTCGCAGTTAGCTCTTAGCCACGTGATTATCAGCAGTTTCCAAGGCTAACTAATGGCATCAGAGCCATTTCCGTCAACAACCTACATTTTAGACCCACCTACAGACACGTGACTGGATGGAGGTCACATGTAGTAATTTTGGGGCCACGTTGAGTTTGGCCTTGCAAGTTCTGATTGGTTGAAGTGACAGGAACGTGGAATCATTACTGTGATTCTATTGGCTCAAACGATTAAAAAGAGGTGTCAATCATGCAAATTTACCAAAAGAAACCAAAGTTACAGCCCCTCAGAGTTTAAAGGGCCAATTGAACGCTACATGTGCATGGCAGAAAAGGGCCATTGCCATGTAAATGTGTGGTTAATTCTTCAAAAATGTATTAAAAAAACAAGCATTTTTAAGCATGGTAATAAAATTAATGAATTTCTGCTTAATTTTATTTTGATACCAAAATTGTAAGCACAGAATTTGTATTTGAGGAGAAATAATCAATTAATTTTGGGTATTTCATTTTAGCGCAGGAAGCTCAGAAACTACTTTGGGGCTCAAGATTAATGATTTCTTTGAAATGTTTTCTTTCCACTTTAATCTCTAATCTTAACCTTATTCCATTTCAAAAAAAGTAACTGGTTGCACAAATTTGAATTTATTTTCGATTTTCTCAAATCTGCACTGCACATCAAAAGAATACTTTTAGGTTCAATATACACACACTTAAATCTTTTAGTAAGTGACACGGTCACCTTTTCATGGGTGATCATGATTGACTACAAGTGGTACTTTATGTCTGTCAGCAGTAAAGGACTTGTTTCACAGCGTTCATCAGATTAACCAATACTCAAAAAATGGGAAAGTCCAAAGATCTGAATGAAGATCTAAGAAGTAACATACAAAGGCACAGACTAAGACACACGCGCTTGATTGGGACAGAGGGGGAAACAGACATGGGAACAAGACAAAAAGAGAAGATGGAGAGGACGAGAGACATGATGGGCTGTGGAGAACACACATGGATGCACATGAAGGACAGATGAGACAAGGATGAAACACAAGGAGGAAAACCTGGGACAACTGAGGGAGACAAGACACAAAGAGGGGGGGGGGAGCGAGACCACAGAAGCCGAGCAGACATAGACATGAGTGGGGAAAGCTGTAAACTCAATGACATGAAAAGAACCAAAACTCAAACCTAAAACGTCTTAGCAAAGCAAAAAATCAAACATCAACAAATATGTTAACCTAAAAAAGTAACGTCAAAGAGCTGGGTCAAAGACCCAGAACCAAAACATTCTGCCAATAAGAGAGGTCAAACTTCCCATCAGAATTGTGCTTGCAGCTTGTTGTTGGCTGTCACTAATATTTTTTAAATGTTAACCAAATATTTCAACCTTTTTTTGTTTAGTTTTTCAAAGTCATTAAAGATGTAAGAATAGTTGAAGAAACCATTAAAAGCCCACAATTACCTCAACATTCACTCCCCTGATGAGTGTATGGAAACTTCTGACCATGAATGTTCAAGAAGGGTTAATTTTAGCTTCAGGGAAAACTAATCCATGTAAATATTCCACTATGTATCAAGTGATGGGAGTTATAACAACCATGACAGCTGATGTCGCATTAACATGTACGAGAGGAATTCAAATTCAAAATCATAAAACGCACAAAATCAGGAATCTGCCCAGCTTACAGGGGCTTGGAGACAGATTACACCCGAGGACTCAAGTCATCAGTCCATCACAGAGCTAAACATTCACAGACAACCATCCTTACCTGTAAACAATTAAAATAACTAGTTAACCCAACAGGCATGTGTTTGGACCGTGGGAGGAAGTTAGACTACCAGGAACTCACACAGTCCAAACAAAGACACAAACTCCACTCACAAGACCCTTTAACCCTTTGGCTCTAAACCAACACGGCTCATTTCTCAAATGATTTACAGAAGAAAAAAACAAATATGCTTTCTGATGTTCACATGTAGCAAAGTGTTTTAAAGAATTTCAGAAACTGCTTTTAAAACTTTGACCATCATTTAAGAATTGACTCATTGCAAATGAGAAAAAACTGCATGCAAGCTATAAATATAGAAACAAACAAAGATCTGTTGTTGACAAATATGGAATAAAAAGTCAGTTTTCTTACTGATCATGAGGCAGACTGGTGCGATCATCATCCTGTTTTAAAGATGACTTTGTTTGGAGTCTGAAAAAAATAATTTAAACCACATCCTGCCAAAGCCTTCTCACACCATGCACAGCGCACACCCACAATATAACATAAAACTCATCAAGTACCCTATGCTGGACCTGCAACACCTTTGCATTTATATCTAGAGACCATAAAGTCTAAATGTCTTCTTTCTTTCTGTTCCTTTAGAAAAAGTAGTTGAATGTGTGGACTGTAAAACAGAGTTTTACAGATGGAACATTTTCTGTATTAATATTACAAATATAAGCCATGGTTACATAAACCAGGCCTAAGGTTGTGCATGTGCACAGTGGTATCTCTACTAAAGTGTAACACTCAGTTCAATTTTATTCATACAGCACCAAATCACAACAACAGTTGCCTCAAGGCTTTATATTGTAAGGTAGATCCTACAATAGTACATACAGAGAAAAACCCAACAATCATATGACCCCCTATAGCAAGCACTTTGGTGACAGTGGGGGGGGGGGGGGGAACTCCCTTTTAACAGGAAGAAACTTCCAGCAGAACCAGGGTCAGGGAGGGGCGGCCATCTGCTGCGAGGGGTGAGAGAAGGAAGACATGCTGTGGGAGAGAAACAGAGATTAATAACAAGTATTAGGTGTTCTGGTAACACCTAGTGGTAAATCCCGAATAAATCTTGCCAAAGGCTATTTGAGGCAACCAAGTCTTGCATACTTTATCTTGGCATTTTATGCCAATTTTGTATTAAAAAGTGGTCAATAAAACGAATAGAACAAGAAAATAAAATAAAAGAAGTTGCTCATCACAACTTTGATGTCAAGTAAAACATACACAGATTGTCTAAAAAGCTGCACTTCTAAGAATTGATATTAAATGTCTTAAGCTTGCATTGTACCCAAGGATTCTGTAAAATATTTACATACTGTATACAAGATGTGCTCAGAGGCACCAGGTTAAAAACTATTAACACCAAGATGCAGTTTACCAACATGTCTGTGCAAATTTGTGAAATAATAGTCTACTAAGGCCTATTAAGAAAGAGATCACAAAAATCACCAAAATCAAAAGTTTATTTCAAGGTAATTTCGCAGTCCAAATTAAAATCTGAAGAAATTCTCTCAGGGCATTGTGTGTTTATGTGGACGAGAGAGTCACACAGCAACAACAAAGAGCATAATGTAGTGGTTATCTCAAGCATAAAAGTATGTTTTGTTGATATAGTGCAATGTAAGAGCTAATGGAGTTTTCAGAGTCTAGACAGTCAAAAATGCTCATTGTGTACACAAAAACAGATATCAATCCGGATAGTGGTTAATTCAACACGGACACTATTGGCGTATCCAAAACCATGGGCTGTATCCTCCTGAGGACCCGGCCTTCGTGGTCCACGTGGTCCGGGTCCTCAGGATGTCCAATAGGCCGGACGTAAAGGCCGGACAGTCTAGCCTTCAGATTTGCGTCAGCGCTGTCTCGCTGGAGTTTAATAAACTCGGCCGCCTGCTCCTTGCTATCTAAAATATAACAGGACGATTGCGTAAATTCCCGACCATCTCACACTTCTGTTTAATTAGTTTTCTGTTTGACGTTTATTCAGCTGTGTGAAAACCCCGGAGGATTAATAAAGTTTTAATTTATCTAATCTAATGACTTTAATCCAGCCAAACCGATTTACTCCTAAACAAATAAAACACTGAAAAAAGCCAAACAATAACATTTTCAAGTTATCTAAGTGACTTATATATCAAGTTTAACCAGAGTAGCGAAAGACCGCGTTGCTGTGATGTGCCGGGAGTTTGCCGTTCTCGGCAGCTCTAGTGACCCTCGAGCTCCCGGCGAGCTATCGAGCTGGTGGGTAACAGACGTCTCTGAAAACATCGGAGCACTTTTGAAAATATGTGATATCTTGATCTAAGGAGCTTGGAAAGAAAAGCGTCTGGACTTCTTTAAGTTGCTTGAAGAGATTTTACCTCTCATCCGAGAAGCTTCTTCAGTTCTAAGGTCAAATGGTGGAGAGTCCCAGATTTAAGCCCTGTGGGAGTTTCCCCCAAGAGGGCCAAAGGACCCCCTAATGATCCTCTACCTAATCACATGAGCCAAGGTGTGAAAACGGGTGTGGGTCACAATCAGCCAAGGTTTCGGGTGAGCTCATTGTGAAACCTGGCCCCACCCTATCATGTGATTTCCTGAGGTCAAAGAAGCCATTTATGTCCACTGTGACGCCTTAACGCCCACTCACACTCTGGGCCATCTGACCTCAGGAAATCACATGATCACTGAAATCACTGTGAGCGACCATC